CCCCCCCCCCCCCCCCCCCCCCGCCCCGGCAGCGCGGGGAACGGCCGCGAGAGGGCAGCGAGAACACGCGGCGTGGGGCTGCTTCCCTCCGGCTCGGGCTCTTTAAAAAGTCGTAAGTTAAAACGGAGGGGAAAGGTGCACGCCTGAGAAGAGGGTAGGAGGCCAGGCTCCAGCGACACTTATCTTTGAGTAGATACAGAACTTCACCCCCCAAAAAATGTAAACCGATGGGTTTGAATGACTGCTGTGAGACTTTTTTTTTTTTTTTTAGAGCAATTGCTGGTATCATAATAACCAAATATTAAAATTTGGGAAATTTACAGAACTTATGTTGAACCTGATTTAGGCTAAAGATGCTGGCATACACCCTTCACTCAGGCTCTGTGGTTTTCACGTGAACATTGTCATTTAGCGTGTCGCATACTCAGTATTTGGAGTTAGTTTCCATCAGTGAAGTTGTTACTTCAAGCAGTTACTGCTGGGTGTGACCACTTCATTTCAGTAAAAGCAGGACATTGCTACTCCTACCCACGGACTCTGACACCCTGCCACCACTCCTGCCTACCCAGAGCGCCTCTGCAGTTGCTCGCACAAGGCTGACCAGAGGAGGTTTCAAGCTCCAGCACACACAACACAGAACCAGCAGCTCAGCGTTACCCACTGGAGAGCTCCAGGGCCTCGCTGCACACAGAAAACCATGGGGAAGAGGGACTGAAATCCTCTCCCGGCTGCGTCAGCCAGCATTGCCTGGTTAGCTCCAGAGGTTTGCTGTTCTAAGACATGAATGAGGACGACTTGGCCTTCAGCCCAAGCTGCAGTCTGACTCGCAGGATACGCTGGCTGTGGACAACATGTTCCTATATTCAGATTATTCGGAGCAGGCTGGTATACCCCAGCGCAGCAGCTGTATCCGGCGTCGTGATGGGGGGAGAAGAGGGAAGTCACATTCTCCCGGCCCACAAGTTTTCTCTGAGGTTTTCTCATGTTGGAGAGATGAGCAAAGCTTACAACTTCCTGCTTTTAAAAGCACACCGCAAAAAGCACAGTGGTTGCAGGTCAGGCCTGAGCATCACGCAAAGATCCTAAGTAACCAGTACGACAGCAGAGACCTATAAAGATGTGCATCAGGGCATCAGCAGCATGCTTTTTTTAAGGAGCCACCACATGATGGTGACTGAAGAATAATCATTAAGTCATTGTTTTCCCCCCCTCCCAGTGTCTGTGCAAAAAAAGCAGGAACTTTATTGAATGAAGCACCACCTCACATACTTAGTTTACTAAATGAGTGGTCATTTGCCACAAAGCAACAGAGACCCATCAAAAAAGCTTTTTTTCCCCCTTGCTTATGTTGTTTCACTGTGTTGTCCAATGCTTCACTAAGACAAGCATTTGCTTTCTTACGCAACAAAACACAGCCTAGAGCAAACTATGCTTTGTCTTCTTTAGAAATACTACTATGCTGGAATTACTCATCAAGGCAGTCAACAGCTTGATGTCCAAGTGGAGACCAGTGACGAGTGGCGTTCCTCAGGGGCTGGTATTGGGACCAGCGCTGTTTAACATCTTTGTCGGTGACATGGCCAGTGGGATCGAGTGCACCCTCAGCAAGTTTACCGACAGCACCAAGCTGTGCGGTGCAGTCGACATGCTGGAGGGAAGGGATACTGTCCAGAGGGACTTTGACAGGCTTGAGAGGTGGGCCCGTGCGAACCTCATGAAGTTCAACAAGGCCAAGTGCAAGGTCCTGCACATGGGTGGGGGCAATCCCAAGCACAAATACAGGCTGGGCAGAGAACGGATTGAGAGCAGCCCTGAGGAGAAGGACTTGGGGGTGTTGGTTGATGAGAAGCTCAACATG